GATGGGTTTTATTTTGTTTTTCTTCTTTTAGATGATGTACGTTTATATTTTTTAACTGTCAACGTGCATTGCTTCTGAAATAACAGTTAAAACATTTTAAAATATTAGTAATAAAATGCAAATGTAATAATGTTCATCTTTACTTAAAATTCTTCAAACTCTCCACATTATTATCAGGAAAAAGTTCAAATTTCTCAGTACAGCTTGCAAGACCGTGCATGCGTCCTCCCACTCTTCTATTCATTCACTTGCTGTTCTTTCCAAAGTGCCCCACTCTTGCTTTGCCTCTAGGCCTTCACATATGCACTTCCAGCTGCCCAAAAATGCTTTTCCTCTTTGACTCAACCATATTTGGTCTCACCTTAAATATCACTTCTACCTGGAGACTTCCTTGATCAGCACCCCCAAGTCCAGGTGGGAACCTGTCTTCTATATTCCCCAGAACCCTGCGCTTAACCCCTATCACAGTCCTTATCTCAGTGCGGTGTAAACGTTACACGGGAGGCTCTGGAGCTGAATAAATATATCTTTCTTGTCCTCAATGGATTCCTCAGTGCCTAGAATAATATCTGGCACTTAAGAGAGTTCAGTTAAATGTTATTGGAAAAAATAAAACTAACCACAATTAGCTGTTAGATTTGGAAAAGTTCTTAGAGATCATCTAGCCTAACTTCTTTTAACAGTGAGGCTCAGAGAAGCAGAGTCAAGTTCTAATTCGATTCTTTACTGAATTGTTGTGCAATCTTAGGAAATACCTTTCCCCTCTGGGTCTCAGTCTTTCCAGATATAAAATAAGAAAAGCACATTCTGTTCCAGCTTTTTCTGACTTTGTCTCTTCTTCCTTCCCATAGGTACTAGGTAGCTCATAGATACACTGACTGGGTGACTAGGTGAGATGGTGCAGGAAAATATAAGGTCCGGTTCATCCGCTCAAATTGCTCCCAATCAAGCTGAGGACATAAGACATACACAGTGAAGAAATGCTCAATTACACGTTCCAGGTGATTCGGTCTTGCTAGGAATCAAAAAGGAAGAGGTCAGGGAAGCCTGGGGCATCAAGGCTCCTGCAGGAGATAAGCCTTAAGCTGAGAAAGCAGAATTTGCCTGAGCAATGAGGCTGACAGAGAGCGTCCCTCACACAGGATTGGCTGTCCACACCATGTGACGTAAATCACAAGTGCTCACTAGAGGCTCAGGCTGATGCTGATTCCAGTCCTAGCTCTGCCACTCACTGGCCCTGTGCCTTGGACACATTTCTCAGACCTGTTTTCTTACCCTCACTATGGGAATCTGAATGTCTAGCTTGCAGGGGTTTTGTGAGGATTAAATGTATGTGACAGTATCTAGAACGGTGCCTGCTGCCTAACAGACCATTTTAAGAAATGCCACTTTCTTTTCTTTCTGCTAGCCACATAAATGGACTTGACATGTCACTGGCAAGAACATCAAGAGTACAGCTGGGGCCTGGGGACTGAAGGCTTTTTCTGCCCAACCATTCATAGTCTGTTCACTCTGATGTGACTTGCCCAGTGCCTCATCATAACACACATACACACACACACACACACACACACACACACACACACACACACACTTCATGCAAAATCCAAGGGAGAAGGAGAAGGAGAGACTATTTCCAATCCCCTGATCAGATGGGACCAGATTGGGAGCTGTCCATTACCATCATCAGGACAAAGAGCCAACACTCAGGCCGGGCCTGGAGTTCTCCCACCACCATGGGACTTATAAGATATGAGATTATGAGGCCAAATGTCACTTTCTATGGGGCTGGAGAGAGAGGCTGCAATTAAATTATAGAAAAATCCTATAAAATACCTTAGAACATTTTATGAAGCTATTGATATTTCTATAGGCAAACAGACCAAGGCATGCACGGTAGGAGGAATTGAGCAGGGGTGAGGGTGAGGGTGGGGAGGAAGCTTGTTTGTTTTAGTTTATCTCTGCTGATAACAGATCAAGACTGATGAGGATTTACAAGCAGCATTACAAAAGAAAATATTGCATGACCTGTTTATCCAGCACCCTCAGGGAAAAAGCAATAGCAGGTCCTCATGTGTGGAGATTATTCCTTGGAGGAAAGCATTTAAAGCTGGACTTGAACTGAGGATATTAATCATTTGGGGAACTATAGACCCTTGTGGGAGATTCAACACAGAGAGCTATGCCCTTCCTGCTTGGGAAACACAAATATACCCTAAACTCTACTTGTAGTGTCATGCTATTCATGAACTCCAGGTTTACAATGTCTCTGTAACAAAATTTAAAACTTTCTTTTTCTGTTTTGTTTGTTTGTTTGTTTGTTTGAGACAGGGTCTCACTCTGTCACCCAGGCTGGAGTGCAGTGGCATGATCATGGTTCACTGCAGCCTGGACCTCCCTGGGTTCAGGTGATCCTCTGACCTCAGCCTCCTGAGTAACTGGGACTACAGGCTACTGTATAGGCCATCACATGCACCACCACACCCGGCTACCTTTTGTATTTTCTGGTAGAAACAAGGTCTCATCATGTTGGCCAGGCTGGTCTCAAACTACTGGGCTCAAGCAATCCTCCCAACTTGGCCTCCCAAAGTGCTGGGATTACAGGCATAAGCCATCGCTCCTGACTGAAAACTTTCTTAATGGAAATATTTCTTAACTGCATGACCCAGTTTTCTGCTATTGAGATCTACCCATATCATAACAGCTCCTCACGTTGTAAATATAAACTGAATGGACTCTTTCACTTCCTCTAGGAACAGCTGAGGCAATTGAGCAAACTCTCAGCTAGGAGTCAGAATACTTGGATTCTAGAATCAGCTCTGGACCTACATTTTCAGAGTGACAATGAGCCAGTCTCAATTCTCCCTGGACTTTAGTTTCTTCATCTAGAAAAAAAAAAAAAAGGTGGGAGGTGGGGATGGAGTTTTGACTAGGACAGCCATTCCTAACCTATATTCTATAGAAGATACTCATCATGCACAAACATAAGAATTCCATGGCCAAAATAAATCATATTCTATTCCCTTCTTGAGATGCACACAACTCATCAGCATATTAAGGTCTCTGAGAAGTCCTGCAATAAAGAAACCTGTTGTATTTCATCTGGTCTAACATTTCCCTAATTGATTTGACTCATGAATTTCCTTTCAGTGGAATAACTACACTGCAGTCCCATCAGAGAAATATTAACTAAGCACTGAGTTTAGAAGCTAGTAAGATGTGACTCCATGACATCTATTAAACCTTTCCAAACAAATCAACATATGTCACAGTAAGTTATAGAAGGCTGAGATTAAAACAGAATGGGATGAACCCTAGGTACAGCAGGAACAATACAGAATTCTTCTGCCCATCCCTCCTTCACTTCTTGAGAATTAATTATTCTCTTTAGGCAGAATAGTTTGAATGCTCAGACATCAGCTTTGATTATATCCTTTCATTCTTTCAATTTGTCTAGACCAGTGACTCTCAAATCTTGGTGTGCCTAAGAAGTACTGTACTATTGGGGTTGAGGGGAAAAGGGGGACTTCAATTTATATGCAATGTATTTTTTCTCAGATGAGTAGATTGCAAAAATTTTCTCCCATTCTGTAGGTTGCCTGTTCACTCTGATGGTAGTTTCTTTTGCTGTGCAGAAGCTTTTTAGTTTAATTAGATCCCATTTGTCAATTTTGGCTTTTGCTGCCGTTGCTTTTGGTGTTTTAGACATGAAGTCTTTGCCCATGCCTATGTCCTGAATGGTACTACCTAGGTTTTCCTCTAGGGTTTTTATGGTATTAGGTCTAACATTTAAGTCTCTAATCCATCTTGAATTAATTTTCGTATAAGGAGTAAGGAAAGGATCCAGTTTCAGCTTTCTACTTATGGCTAGCCAATTTTCCCAGCACCATTTATTAAATAGGAAATTAGAATGGCAATCATTAAAAAGTCAGGAAACAACAGGTGCTGGAGAGGATGTGGAGAAATAGGAACACTTTTACACTGTTGGTGGGATTGTAAACTAGTTCAACCATTATGGAAAACAGTATGGCGATTCCTCAAGGATCTAGAACTAGATGTACCATATGACCCAGCAATCCCATTACTGGGGATATACCCAAAGGATTATAAATCATGCTGCTATAAAGACACATGCACACGTATGTTCATTGCGGCACTATTCACAATAGCAAAGACTTGGAATCAACACAAATGTCCATCAGTGACAGACTGGATTAAGAAAATGTGGCACATATACACCATGGAATACTATGCAGCCATAAAAAAGGATGAGTTTGTGTCCTTTGTAGGGACATGGATGCAGCTGGAAACCATCATTCTTAGCAAACTATCACAAGAACAGAAAACCAAGCACCGCATGTTCTCACTCATAGGTGGGAACTGAACAATGAGATCACTTGGACTCGGGAAGGGGGACATCACACACCGGGGCCTATTATGGGGAGGGGGGAGGGGGGAGGGATTGTACTGGGAGTTATACCTGATGTAAATGACGAGTAGTTGGGTGCTGACGAGTTGATGGGTGCAGCACAGCAACATGGCACAAGTATACATATGTAACAAACCTGCACGTTATGCACATGTACCCTAGAACTTAAAGTATAATAATAATTTTTTAAAAAATGTATTTTTTCTCTTATTTAAAAAAAATGAAGCAAACATGAAAAAATATTGACAGGATGATGAAAACAAGTGTTTATTACACCCGTCTTTGAACTTTTCTTTAGTTTTATTTTTTCAAAATAAAGAATAACATTTACATAATCTCAGTTCAGGGTCGAATATACCTCATGGGGAATTTAGAGGATTTTCAGGGGTAATTATGACTCCCATGGTTTTTGCCTGATACACACCTTTTATGTCTCACTCCCATATAAGATGCAACCACACTTAATAACATCCTCCAGAAAAGGCTTTACTAACCAGAAATACCCAGGTTCTCCAAAAGTTGATGTCCTTGGGCCTAACACTGCCTTCACCTTGTTGTTTCCTGGCTGTAGGACTATAGGGTCAACATCTTCCTGCGTCAGCAATGGAACGACCCCCGCCTGGCCTATAACGAATACCCTGACGACTCTCTGGACCTGGACCCATCCATGCTGGACTCCATCTGGAAACCTGACCTGTTCTTTGCCAACGAGAAGGGGGCCCACTTCCATGAGATCACCACAGACAACAAATTGCTAAGGATCTCCCGGAATGGGAACGTCCTCTACAGCATCAGGTGAGTTCTGACCAGGTTCACCCACTCCTTCCTCAGAATGTGCCTTACCCGACTACCTTCTGGGCACAGACCCTAAAAGAGGGGCCTAAACAGAGGTGAACAGGCCCTGGTAACCCAACACCTTTGCAGAATAGGCAGACCCAGCTCTGTAACTTATACTCAGCAAGTAATAATAAAATACAATGGGTATTTTATTCTAGGAGCCAATGATTTATTATAACCAAGGAGACCAAGAAAGGCATCCTAGAGAAGGTGGGGTTTAAGTTACCCAGCATTTCAATCAAACAAGATAGGAAAGAGTATCCAAGCATGATTACCAATAGCAAGAGCTAAGCCTAGAAAATCACAGCAACTTCAAAGTAAATGAGCCTGCCAGGTGGATGGTGTTGCTCACGGTCAAGGCCAGGGTTACTCCATCCCTTCTACAAAATCTATCCCCCAAACTTTGCATTGGGTCTAGGAGTTTAGATTTCCCTCTCCAGATGTGGAGTATCCTTGAGATACTGGTTAGGGGCAAAGCCTTCAGAGTCTGCTGCCACCCCTCCGCACCAAGTCCTGATCTCCTCTCCTAAGGCATAAGGAAAATGACCAATGTCAAAGAGGTGAAAAAATACCTTACACATGTAATAATAATAGCTACCATTCATGAGAATTCACTAACTACGCTGGGTACTTTTCATGTGTTATATCTAGCCCTCCTAATAACCCCATGAGGCAGGTTTTACTATGCCCATTTTGCATATTAGATAAATGAGAATCAGAAAAATTTAAGTAACCTGCCAAAGTTTCCAGTTTGTTAGTAGCAGAGCCTAGATTCTAATCTGTATTAGTGTGAATCTGATGCCCTCTCAAAGTCCTACAGCAGTGCATGGCATTCAATAGGCACTCAAATATTTGATCAATATATGAATATGTTCTTATTTCAAAGAACTTAAAAGGGCGCTGGCCCTAAATGTCTCCCCCTCCTGCTCCAGTCCTTCAGGGAAACACATTTTGTTTCCTTTGGGTGATGAGCCTTAACTTTCCCAGCCTGTGGGAGAGGCTGTACAGATCCTAACCCTCAGGTTTGACTGAACTCGGTCTCTCCCAAGAGCAGGTTGGGTAGGGGAGGGAGCTTAGGAACCTCACCATCAAGAGAAGGCTTGGAGGAACCCGCTGCTCATATGGCCTTCCTCGCTCAGGAGCCCACTTTCCCATCCCCCCAAGTAAACATCCAGACTAGAGGAGTGACAGGCTTAGGAAATGGCCACCCAGGCCCGGCTGGCTAGGGGGATGGTAAGGTCAGCCTGCTTGGATTTTGCTGCTGCCAAGCTAGTTTCCTATCTTTAGGAAGCTAAGTCCTGGAACAGCATGATAGAAGGACAAATCAGCAGAAAGTGACGTTTCCAAGGTCATTCGACTTCAGGAAATTAACCCAATGTGACAGCTGCCCCACTTTGGAGCTTTTATCTGCAGAAATTCAACTGCATTCACTTTCTCTTCACTGTCTCCCTCCTTCCACTCCCTTCTTTTCCCTCTTCTTCCTCTCCCTCTCCCTTCTATTTTTCCCCTTTTGCTTTAACCTTATACTTAAAGGGGCCCAGATCCAGAGCTGTGGGTGTGAGCTGGAGGAAGGAAGTTCACAAAGTGCTGTGTACCTCATCACATGCAGCCAAAGTGCCAGTTCAGTTCCACTAGAACACCACCAATTATGTGTCTTAGGGTATTGGGGTTGGCTTTTCAGGAGAGCAGTGCTGCCAGCAAACACATAAGTCAACCTCACCCTGGGACTCAGAATCCAAAGGCCAGGACACATGGTTTTGAATCCTGGCTGATGTATCAGCTTGCTGTGTGACCTTAGATGACTCTCAGCCTATCCCTTTCTGTACCCTGGGTTTCTCACCTGTCACATGAGGGAGTTGGCTTGATGATCTAAGGCTCTTTGGGCTCTGAAAGCCTTTCTTCTCCGTCCCCTGCAGCAGGCACTCAGATGTTGGAAAAGCCTTTCAAGCTGGAGTCTTGTATCCCAGCTTGAGCTGCAGGCCTCGAATTCTGTTAAGGGGACTCCCTCTGGTTCTGAGTCTGTGGCCTCTGTAAGGGTTGAACAACCAAAATAAATAGCTGGCCCAGAATCCTTAGGAGCCCACCCCTTTCCGGTCGACCCCTAGCATGAGCCTACTGATGTGAGTCAACTGTGTTTGGACACCCAGAAAGCAGACGGCCTCTTTGAAATAACCTTTGATGAGCCCCGTGTGTGAAGAAGGTAGCCAAGAACCACTTGCAACATCTGCTGCAGGTGCACATGGGTGCTGCTCAACTTAAAATTTGAGCTCTGTCCCTACCTGAGGGCTATGCAGAAGAGTATGGAACGGGAGCAGCCCCTGGTCTCCAGGCAACTTGCTAAAGACAGGTCTCCAGAGGCCAGATAGACTCCAAAGAAACCCAGAAGTTCCCTGACTCTGTGTCACTTTAGGCAACCTACTTTTACCTCTCTAAGCCTCCATTTTTCAATCAGGAACTTGGAAATACACACATACTTATTTAATACACACAAGTTGTCCACACTCGCCACCACCCAAAGGTGCTGCATCCCAGTAGCCATCAGGAGCTTTGTCTAGGCTGGGCAAAGTTGGCTGGGAGACCAGATGGCCACCAGGTCCCTGAGGTGGGGTGGGAAAAGAGGTTTGTCACTACTTCAGGCCTGGGCCCAGCTGGTGGGACCCATGGCAAGGGCTGTGGGAGCCTGGAGAACAGAGCCTGCCGCCAGGCCGGAGCCCCCAGCCCATCTGCACCTCCAAGGTCAGAGGGCCTGCAGGTCCCCAAAGCATCTGGCTGCACTCTGCTTCCCACCACGCTTCTTGCCAGAACTCCTGGTGGATTTTTTATCCTTCAGTTTTGCTAAATTCCATTATGTGCATTAACAGTTTGTATGTGTGTGTGTGTAATTTTCAGGGCTTTCTATATATATAAATCTTGTCACGGCCGGGAACAGTGGCTCACGCCTGTAATCCCAGCACTTTTGGAGTCTGATGTGGGAGGACTGCTTGAGCCTGGGAGTTCGAGACTAGCCTGGGTAACGTGGTGAGACCCCTGTGTCTACAGAATAATTTTTAAAAATTAGCAGGCGTGGTGGCATGTGCCTATGGTCGCGTCTACTCTAGAGGCTGAGGCAGGAGAATTGCTTGAGCCTAGAAAGTTGAGGCTGCAGTGAGCCATTATTGCACCATTGCACTCCAGCCTGGGCCACAAAGGGAGATCTCACCTCTCAAAAATAAATAAACAAACAAACAAACACAAGTTCCCTGACCTTCTTTCCCTACCCTGGACAACTGATTTTCTAACAATAACTACAATAGAGGCACAGCCTCCCTGATGTGTGGATCCTGCATCATTCAACTCCCTTCTCTTCCCAGAATCACCCTGACACTGGCCTGCCCCATGGACTTGAAGAATTTCCCCATGGATGTCCAGACATGTATCATGCAACTGGAAAGCTGTGAGTCTCTTGCATGAGTCCTCTAGAAAGAACCAGGCTCCCTTTTTTTACCCATGGGACAGGCAGAAATTCCCACACAGCTGCTCCTAACCACTAGAGCCCAGGAGATTACTATAATAACCCAAAATATTCCATGAAGGACTTTGCTTTTAGAAAATGCATTAGAAATATAACTCCCCTTACATTGCCTGAGGACCACGTTTTGGAGCTAGCAGCGTTCTCCAAAGGGTCATTGTCCCATGTCTATGGTTAATGTGAATGGAGGAGAAATGACTTGAATGAGTCATGGTCTTTGAAACCACAAGAAGTTCACTCCAGCAGGGGAAGTAACAACTGACTGCACAAATAACTCTAATAAAGGGTGGCAAGTGATTGTTGTGTTGTTAGAAGTACAAAGCACTGTGGCCTCATGGCAGAAAGAGTGCTTCCTTTTGATGGAGAAAGAGAGAGGGTATTGGAGTAGACTTTATGGAGGACCGGGATTTTAACAGATTGGAAAGCTGACTCCTGTGATTGCAAACAGAGAAACCAATCTGACTAACTTAAAAATACAGAAACCAAGGCAGAGCACTTAGACAACAGGAACTAATCGACCATTTCCTTGGAGTTCTACCTGTGAAGGGAATGAGCACAAACCAATTCTGAACCTCCTGTTACTTCACTCAATAGTTGCTGAAGTGCTGGGGCACAGTCTGGCCTAGCTTGAGTCACCATTTCACACTTTCTACCTTCTACCCCAGCCAGTGGTTAGTCCCACCAAGACAGCATGCAATAGAGTTGTTCCACAGAGGAATATCTGCTGTGAGCAAAAGAGGAGGCTGACAAGGATGGTGTGCAGGTGAAAATAGCAGATGTCAACAGCATTTCACCATGGGAGTAAGAGAGGGAACAACAGGACAAGCTAATGCAGAAGGTTGGGAAGAGAGGTGGAAGGGCTCTGAGGTAGATACAAATAACCTGTTTTTTACCTCTTTTGAGAGGAAAATAAAAAGCAACCTGGTCTCACAAGTTTCATCAAGTGTCTGATGTTTCTCTCAGTCTCTAACCCTAACCAACTTTGACATGCTTCAAACAAGTGCTTCTGAGTGGTGACTGCTCCTTCTTCTGATCCCATCCCAGTTGGATATACCATGAATGACCTCATCTTTGAGTGGCAGGAACAGGGAGCCGTGCAGGTGGCAGATGGACTAACTCTGCCCCAGTTTATCTTGAAGGAAGAGAAGGACTTGAGATACTGCACCAAGCACTACAACACAGGTAGGTACAAGGGCCATCCTCCTCAGATCCCACCCCCCAACCAGGACCAGAGGTCATTTCAAACACATTCAATCATTGATTCAACAGATCTTATGAAGTACCCATGATGGGCACAGCTCTATTACCTACTGGTTAAAAGAATAGGTTTTGAAACAAAAAAGTGGCTCTGACATTTTCTTCCTATGACTCCTGCAGTGAGTGACTGAAGCATGGGCCCTACCTAATTACCAGGGAAGCTGGTAAATACAGTCATTATTCCAGGTAGCAGAATGGATCCTATTTCTAAGGCAGAAGTGAAGAACTGATATTGGGAAGATACCTAGTAGTCTCTGTCACAGATGAACTGGCATTTCCAATAGAGCAAAAGTAGAGAGAATGCTCACAATAGACCTCAGCAAGAGGGAGCTGAGAGGTGTCACTGAAGGTTAGTAAATAGCTAGAAAAAGTTCACTAGCCTGTGAGCTATGAGACAGCAGAGAAGCCACGATGGTGTAGCTCAGCTCTCTGTCTCCCATGCCTTTGTCAGAAGATTGAATATCTGGATGACTAACTGGGGCCAGATCAAGACTGGCTTTGTGTGTCCTGTCTCAGGCTGAGAACAAGCTCATAAAAGCACGGGAGAAGAAAGTCAGTCAGTTGGTATAGCAGCTGGAAGGATGGGTAGGAAGCTGGGGTCTGAACCCAGAAGCACAGAGTAGAGAGGCATGGCAGGCCAGCAAGAGGAGGAGGTGACAGAGAGGGATTGAGAGAAACCATCGTAGGCTCTGGTGTAATTAGACAGCCCAGTGAAGGTACAGGCAGCCTGGGCTGCAGTCTGTCTTGGGCAGCTGCCTCTTTCTGAGTCACCTCAGAGATGTTTCAGAACCTCCAGAGATACTCTCTTCATCCCTTGAGCCATAATGGCATTCCCATAGCAGCCATGAAAGCAATGACTCCCAAGTCAAATCACCACAACTGACCCTCACATACCAAGTCTTTTACTCTTTATGCAGCATTTTCTTTTCTTTTTTCTTTTTAGCTTTCTTAAGGTATAACTGACCAATAATAATTGTATATATGGAAGATATGCAACGTGATGTTCTGATATACATATGCATTGTGAAATAATTACCACACTCAAGCTAAGTAACATATCCATCAACTCACATACTTCTCATTGTGTGTGTATGTGTGTGTGTGTGTGTGTGTCTAGTAAGAACACTTAAAGACCTAAATTTAAGATTAAGCTAAAATGATAAAACTTCTAGAAAGACATGAGGACAAATCTTCCTAATCTTAGATTTGGCAATAGATTCTTAGATATAATACCAAAAACACAAGCAATAATGAAAGAACAATAGATAGATTTGACTTCATAAATATTAAAAGTTCATCAAAGGACACTATCAAGATAGTGAAGATAAAGAACCCACAGAATGGGAGAAAATATTTGCAAATCATAAATCTGATAGGAGTCAAATATTCAAAATATATTTTAAAACTCTTAAAATGTGAGGGAAAAAAAAAAGGCCAGGCATGGTGGCTCATGCCTGTAATCCCAGCACTTTGGGTGGCCAAGGCAGGGGGATCACTTGAGGCCGGGAGTTTGAGACCAGCCTGATCAGCATGGTGAAACCCTGTCTCTACTAAAAATACAAAAAAAAAAAAAAATTAGTTGGGCGTGGTGGCACATACCTGTAATCCCAACTACTCTGGAGGCTAAGACAGGAGATCCCTTGAACCCAGGAAACGGAGGCTGCAGTGAGCTGAGATCGTGCCACTGCACTCCAGCCCGAGTGACAGAGTGAGACTCTATCTCAAAAAAGAAAAAGAAAAAAAAAAGTAAAAAGGAGATCTACCCTCTTAGCAAATTTCAAGCACACAGGACACCACTGTTAATTCTAGTCACATTGCTGTACATTAGATCCCCAGAACTTATTCATCTTGCATAACTGAAATTCTGTACCCTTTGATGAACATCTCCCAATTTCCCCCATCCCTCAGCCTTTAGCAACCACCATTCTACTTTCGGCTTCTATAAGTGTGACTATTTTAGATTTCACATACAAGTGAGATCACACAATATATGTCTTTCTGTGTCTGGCTTATTTCACTTAATATAAAAATGTCCTCCAGCTTCATCCACATTGTCACAAATGGCAGAATTTCCTTCTTTTTTAAGGCTGAATAATGTTTCATTTTCTTTATCTATTCATCCATTGAGAAATATATCATGGTCCAGCAATCCCACTTCTAGATACAAAGATACATAGCCAAAGAAAGTAAAACCAGTATCTCAAAGGCATATCTGCACTCCCATGTTCACTGCAGTAATATTCACAATAGCCAAGATATGGAAACAACCTAAATGTACATAGCATATTCTCATTCGTTTCACTTGCTCTTCACCATTTTCATTTAAGTGAGAGCTGAACTCCGTGCTAGACCCTATGGATGCAAGGAGAAAAGACTGACAAGGCCCTGCCTACAGCTTACAGTCCAGGGAACTCCAGGAAATTCCCTATTGTGCTTCAGTAGACAGGAACTAAGGCCCCACCATTAGACTGGGCCCATCCCAGTTCCAGGGATACATAGACAGGGAGGAGACAAGCTGCCTAGTCTAGTGCAGAAGACAGAGAGAGAGACTGACTTGCCCGCTCACTCACTGTATTATGTCTTGAAGGCTCTGATGATCATGTGAACAGGGCTCAGGGAACACAGAAAAAGAGCAGCATTCTGCCTGGGAGAATGTTCACATTTACACTGCCATGGAGGAGAAGGAAGATTTCTTTGGCTGGTTGTGGGAAGGAATAAGGGCATTCTGGGCAAAGGGATAAGCAAGATCAAAAGCTCAGAAACATGAAAGTTCAGGGAATGCTCAAGGCAAGGGGTGGCATGTAGGGAGTCATGATTAGGGTGAAGAAAGACGGGAAAGTGGATAGAAAGACTGGTTAGAGCTTGGTTATAAAGGGCAGGCTAAAGAGTGAACTTTTTCCTGTAGGTAATGGGAACTGCCTTGCATGAGGAAAGAAGGAGGAGACCAAAGGTTTTAGAAGAGGAAATAACAGGATCAAGTCATGTTTTGGGAAGATAACTGGCAGAAAGGTAGAGAAAGTGCCACTTAGGCCCATTCTTAGCAACAAAATACTGATGATGATGATGATGATGACGATGGTGATGATGATGGCAATTGACAATCCTGAACATTTACAACGTATGAGGACTGTGCTAAGTTTTTCATAGGCATCATCTCATTGTATCCTCACATTAATCATATAAGTAACTATATGATAGAGGTATTATTATTATTATCCCCAGTTTACTACACATGAGGAAACATATACAGAACAATTCAAATACTTGTCTAAGGACACAGGTAGTATGAGACTGAACCAGGGAAGGAATGTTCTAAGCTTGTTCTAAGAGCTTGTTCTAAGCCTAGAGCCTTTTGTCCTATTCACCAGGCTACACTGCCTTCTCACTGCAATTTCTTGCAGGTAAATTCACCTGCATTGAGGCCCGGTTCCACCTGGAGCGGCAGATGGGTTACTACCTGATTCAGATGTATATTCCCAGTCTGCTCATTGTCATCCTCTCATGGATCTCCTTCTGGATCAACATGGATGCTGCACCTGCTCGTGTGGGCCTAGGCATCACCACGGTGCTCACCATGACCACCCAGAGCTCTGGCTCTCGAGCATCTCTGCCCAAGGTAAGTCCCATTGCTCAAGAGCACAGAGCACCTGGACAAATAAGGACAGCATCTACTTCCTTGTTCTGCCTAAAACATGGGGAGCAAAGGAATTATTCACTACTTATTTATCTACTATACTTTGCAGGATCCTGCAGATCTTTGCAGGTTCTACACTTTTCTGATCCATCAAACCTTCCACCAGACTCAACATTATGTTCAGTACGAGTTGCCAGACACCACATTCTGCTCCACTGTCTACCAACACCAGACACACATTCTGCTTCATTTACTGTTAACACTCAACTTCACATTCTCCTCCATTCACTTTCAGAGCTAAGTACAACATTCTGCTCTTTTCACCATTAATAGTAAAAACTGTGTGTCAGGGATCTCCAACACTAATCCCATATCTACAGATTTGATAGAAAGATTCATAGGACTCAGCATAAAGTTGTATTTGCAGCTAAGATTTATTTATTTTTTAATTTTTTGAATTTAAAAAGGCCTTTATATTCCACCCTTTGAGTTGCAATTGGGACAACTGGGAGATGGGGAAGAGTTGGAGTGGGATAAAGAACTAGGAGGGGCTCAATGGCTGGAGGTCTGGTCCACTTAGTTTTTGTACTGGAAGAGCTCACTGCCGGTTTCATTGGGAAGACACATGTGGATGAGGGCTTCTGTCACCGAAAAGGGTTCGCAGTTGGCAGAGTGGCGACGGTCTTCAAAGTAACCCTTCTTCTCCTGGCCAACAGTCCAGGGAATGCATATGTTGGCACTACAATTGGCTACACCAGCAGAAAAGTCGTTGATGTTGGAGGTTTTGTGGAATCCAGCTACGTGCTGGGCTTTGTCCAGGCCTCCCTTGGGATCATAGGAACGGATGTGGTACTAGTGCCACTTGCTTAGTTTCTCGATGGCCTACTCAATGTACTTCAGACTATTCTCCTCCCACATGGCCTTGGTGCTAAAGTTGGTATGGCAGCCTGTACCCTTCCAGTTCCCAGGAATGGGCTTAGGATCAAAGGTTGCTATCACTCCAAAGTCTTCACATACATGATGCAAAATGAAACAGGCCACTCAGAAATGATCTCCCATGCTGATTCCTTCACAGCATCCGATTAGAAATTCCCACTGGGCAGGCGTGACCTCAGCATTAGTCCCTGCCATCTTGACTCCAGCATACAAGCAGGCCTGGTAATGGGCCTCCACAATGTCTGTGCCATAGGCTTTGTCTGCTCCCACACTGCAGTAATATGGACCTGGGGTCCTGGGAAGCCATTGGAAGGCCAACCAAAGGGGTGCCCATCTGTCCCCATGAGGGGATATTCCTGGTCCATGCCAAACCAGGGGAAGTGGTTGCTCACCATGTCCATTATCCACTTACAGGTGTGCCTCAAATTGGTCTCTGCAGCCTTTTGGTTGTACTTGAAAACTTCACAGAACACCAGCTTGTAGGGTCTTTACTGAAGGTATCCCAAAACATGGCAGCAGGCACGAAATGCATGTCACTGTTGGCGCCTTCAGACTGTAAAATACTACAGCCATCAAAATGCCAGGCCAGGCATGGTGGCTCATGCCTGTAATCCCAGCACTTTGGGAGGCTGAGGCAGGTGGATCACCTGAGGTCAGGAGTTGGAGACCAGCCTGGCCAACATAGTAAAACCCCGTCTCTACTAAAAATACAAAAAATTAGTTGGGGGTAGTCTCACACACCTGTAACCTAGTTACTTGGGAGGCTGAGGCAGGAGAATCACTTGAACCTGGGAGGCCGAGGTTGCAGCGAGCTGAAATTGTGCCATTGCACTCCAGCCTGGGCAACAAGAGTGAAAACTCTGTCAGAAAGAAAAGAAAGAGAGAAAGAGAGAAACAAAGAAAGAAAGAAAAGAAAGAGGAGGGAAGAAAGGAAGGAAGGAAGGAGGAAGGAAGGAAGGAAGGAAGGAAGGAAGGAAGGAAGGAAGGAAGGAAGGAAGGAAGGAAGGGAAGGAAGGGAGGGAAGGAAGGAAGGGAGGGGGGAGAGAGAGAGAGAGAGAAAGAAAGAAAAGAAAGAAAGAAAGAAAGAAAGAAAGAAAGAAAGAAAGAAAGAAAGAAAGAAAGAAAGAAAGAAAGAAAGAAAGGCAAGAAAGAAAAAAGAAAAGAAAGAGGGAGAAAGAAAGAAAGAAGAAAAGAAAAGAAAAGAAAAGAAAGAAAAAAGACAAGACAAGACAGAGAAAGAAGAAATTCCACTCAGGCAACTAACTCTTCCACACACTTGGGCTCACTGTCCCGGGTCCGGGTCTTGCAGCGCAGTCCTTCTCCAGTAACATCGATCCAGATATACATGGCCTGGACTCTCTCACCCTGAGACAGGGACATGTACACATGCTTAATGACTTTGTTTAAGTGGAAACATGCTGAGGCAGTCATGGTGGAAGGTGTTCTGGGCGCCGAGCAGGCAGGCGGGTAAAGGTAGGCCGTGAGAGTGAAGTGAGGAGAGGAGAGGAGGCCGCCGTGCTGCTCACACACTCCATTCTTCTCCCATTCTCAGCTCTCCACAGCTACTATTTATTACAGCAACATATTCAGAAGATATGGCTAACTCATCAGGGGGAAAGAACATAGGCAGAGACTAGAGGAATCCATGTGCGGGCTTCCTTACTCTCCCCCTCCCATGAGGGGTCACACAGAATGCACTCTTACTCCAGCAACAACAATGCAGACATGTGTGTGCTATGTTTCTGCCCCAAAAGACAGAAAAACAGAAACTGTTAGCCAGGCATGGTGGCCTGCGCTTGTAATCCCAGCTACTTGGGAGGCTAAGGTTGAAGAATCACTTGAACCCGAGAGGCGGAGGTTGCAGTGATCCAAGATCATGCCACTGCACTCCAGCCTGGGCAACAGAGTGAGACTCCATCTTAAAAAAAAGAAAGAAGGAAAGAAAAACAGAGTCTGCTCTATGCTCTAAGATTCATTAGAGGCTCAGCGTTCCATGTTTTAACTGGGGGCTGGTCATATCAGCACCCTCTGCCTAGCATGTGCCAAAATTCCAGACTCCCAAAAGGAAAGCAGATTGTTCAGCAGGAACCAGATTGTACAATCTAGGCACAGTGAGCCAGCCTTATCAGTTAGGGAAAGTAGGAATATTCCCAAAATCCAAGTTCTCAGATGCCATCCAAGAGGCAACCTTGCAAGCAGGCCCTTCCTAAGATAGCAGCCTCAGGCCTGTTTTGTTAACCCTTTTCTGATCACACTTCAATTTGATACTTATATTTCTAGTGTTAAACACCACATTTGGTGTTAACTCCTAAACTATATTCTGCTTCTTTCACTATCAACACTAGACACAACATTCTGCTCCATTCACTATTAATGTCAGATACACATTCTGCCCCATTCACCCTTATGCCAGACACAACACTCTGTTCCATTCACCTCTAACACCAGACACAGCATCTCCCTTCATCCATTACTAACACCAGGCACTATTTTTCTTTCAGTCACCCTTACGATCAATACAACCTTCTGTTCCCTTCACTGTCAACACTAGATCTTGCATTCTGCTTAATTCACTACTTTTTTTTTTTTTTTTAAGACGAAGTCTCACTCTGTTGTCCAAGCTGGAGCGCAGTGGCGCAATCTCAGCTCACTGCAACCTCCACCTCCCGGGTTCAAGCAATTCTCCCGCCTCAGCCTCCCGGGTAGCTGGGACTACAGGCATGTGCCACCATACCTGGCTAATGTTTGTATTTTTAGTAGAGATGGGGTTTCACTATGTTGGCCAGGCTGGTCTTGAACTCCTGACTTCGTGATCCGCCCACCTTAGCCTCCCAAAGTGCTGGGATTACTTAATTCAGTTCTAACGCTAAACATAATGTTCCGTTTCACTTACTATTAATGCTAGACACCATATACTCCTACATTCACCCCTAGTTGAGGTACAACGTTCTGTGCTTTTCACTGTTAATGATTGATGCTTCATTCTACTCCACTCTCTTTTAATGCTACATGCTGCATTCTACCACATTCACTATTATTGTTTGAGTCGCATTCTGTTCTACTCACTCAAAAATAGACATGATATTCTGCTCTACTATTAATGCCAGACACCACATTCTGCTTCCTTTAGCCTTCTGCTAGAAACAATGTTTTGCACCATTTCCAATTAATGCTGCTTAACATTCTGTTTTGACATAGAAAAGTTGAAAGAATATACAATAAACACCCTCACACCCTTTACCCAGATTCACCAGTCATCATTTCCCACATACACTTTCTCAATATAGGTAGACAGATGGATAAATAGATAGATAGATGGGCAGGTAGGTAGGTAGATGCAATTTTTGCTGAATCAACAAAGACATGGCAATTCACCTCAAAATAAGGAAGGAGAATCACAATGACATTATCACATCTTTAAAAATTAACATTAATTCAATGGTTATTATTGAATTAGAAATAATTCAATTTGAAATAATTCAATAATGTCATCTAATACAGGACCTTTATTTAAATTCTCCCAGTTGTCAAAAAAGTCATCAGAAAATATGATGAGGGATCCAATCAAGCATCCAATTCATATTGCACACAGTTGCTCTATTTTGTCTCTTCTAACCTAGAACAGTCTCCTAGCTGTTTTTTGTTTTTCATGACACTGACTGTTCCATTAACTTTTAATGTGAGACACAACATTCTGTTTCATCTGCCATCAGCAGTAGAACCACACTCTCCTCTATTCCCTTACAACAAAACTCGACAATATGCTCTCTGAAGCATTCACACCAGACCTCAAATTCTGCTACATTCACCACAAATGCTTGAATCCACATTCTTTGATCACTATTAACACCTGACAACACATTCTGCTGTGTGCTATTGTAACAGCAGACATAATGTTCTGCTTTCTTTTCCTTATGCTAGATTCAACATTCTGCTCCACTCACTATTAATAGTTGATGCCACATTCTTCTCTACTTATGGTTTACACTAGACTCAACATTCTGCTGCACTCATGGTTAACAATATTTGGCTCCATATGTTATTAA